AGGTTTAGGGGTGTTAATAGGAGGTTTAGGGGTGTTAATAGGAGGTTTAGGGGTGTTAATAGGGGGTTTAGGGATGTTAATAGGAGGTTTAGGGGTGTTAATAGGGGGTTTAGGGGTGTTAATAGGGGGTTTAGGGGTGTTAATAGGGTTAATAGCGGGTTAGTAGGGGGTTGAGGGGGTTAAGGGGTGTCCCACCACCACCACCACCTCACCACTATCAGAGCAGGTGCTGGAGGCGGGAGACGGCGGGGGCGGCATGTCCAGCTTATCACTCTCATCTCCCACCACCCCGCCACCGCCGCCACTGGAGCTGGCGGCCGCCGTCCCCCCGCCACTCGTACCCGTGGCACCGCCCCCGGCAGCGGCGGGGGGGGCGGGGGTGGCGGGGGAGGGGCTGGTGCCCCCGCTGGACAGCTTGCGCAGCTTGCAGGGCGGCGCCTCGGGCAGACTGGGGGGATACAGGGCTAATTAGTGATTAATAAGAGCTTGATTAGTGATTAATTACAGCTTGATTAGTGATTAATTACAGCTTGATTAGTGATTAATTAGAGCCTAATTCCTCAATTCTCTGGTCATCAATAAAACTCATCTATATATATCTAGATAATATATCAATAAATACCTTGGGAATATATTGAAATGTATAGGGAGTATCTAGGGAATATATATAGATATCTAGGGAATAAATACAGATATCTAGGGAAGTTAGTTAGGCGACCTATGCTTCTATCCTCTACTAAGCTAGTTAGCCAGGTAGGGAGGGGGGGGACGACCCACCAGGGGGGGGCGCTGCTGGANTCGGAGAGGCTCCAGGCGGGGGAGGCCAGCTGCCCCACCTTGGGCACGCCCCCGGAGATGGCCTCTCACCTACAAGTGTCGGAGAGGCTCCAGGCGGGGGAGGCCAGCTGCCCCACCTTGGGCACGCCCCCGGAGATGGCCTCTCACCTACAAGTGTCGGAGAGGCTCCAGGCGGGGGAGGCCAGCTGCCCCACCTTGGGCACGCCCCCGGAGATGGCCTCTCACCTACAAGTGTCGGAGAGGCTCCAGGCGGGGGAGGCCAGCTGCCCCACCTTGGGCACGCCCCCGGAGATGGCCTCTCACCTACAAGTGTCGGAGAGGCTCCAGGCGGGGGAGGCCAGCTGCCCCACCTTGGGCACGCCCCCGGAGATGGCCTCTCACCTACAAGTGTCGGAGAGGCTCCAGGCGGGGGAGGCCAGCTGCCCCACCTTGGGCACGCCCCCGGAGATGGCCTCTCACCTGCAAGTGTCGGAGAGGCTCCAGGCGGGGGAGGCCAGCTGCCCCACCTTGGGCACGCCCCCGGAGATGCAGAAGCCCACGCTGCCCGCCTGGTACAGCGGCGACGATCTCATGCACACCTGCGGGGGGTGACCATTAGTTAATGGGTAATGGTCCTACCATTAGCGGTGGGGTAATGGACCATTAGTGGCAGAGTAATGGTTCTGCCATTAGTGGCAGAGTTATGGACCATTAGCGGCTGAGTAATGGATGGCACTACCATTAGTTCCCATTAACTGCATGGTATAATGGACACACCTTGAGGGCAGAGTAATGGATAGCCCTACCATTAGTTCCTATAACTGCACATTATAATGAACCTACCATTATCTCCCAATAACTGCACAGTAGAATGGACCGTCCTACCATAACCTCCCATTACCTGTACATTCTAATGGACCCACCATGACCTCTGGGGTGATGGTGTGGCGGTACTTGGAGGTGCGGTTACGGTGTCGGTGCAGGAGCTTGTCCCGTACCATTACCTACCATTACCTCCCATTACCCACCATTACCTGTACAGTATAATGGACTAATGGACCCACCATTAACTACCCATTCTAATGGACCCACCATGACCCCCGGGGTGATGGTGTGGCGGTACTTGGAGGCACGGGTGCGGTGCCGGTGCAGGAGCTTGTCCCGGGCCAGGAAGGGCATGACGCCCCACCAGTACACGGCCCCTGAGGCCATCCTGACGCAGCTGTACAGAGGGCACGTGTGCACCGTGAGAGGCCACTCCGGCTGTCCGCACACCTGTGGGAGGGGCAGGAGGTGAGGGGAAGTGAGGGGAACATGAGGGACACCCCCCCAGGTGAGGGGAGGTGAGGGGACTAGAGGGGCATCCTGACGCAGCTGTACAGAGGACACGTGTGTACCGTGAGAGGCCACTCCGGCTGCCCGCACACCTGTGGGGGTAATAGAGGGTAATGGAGGGTAGAAGTGAGGGTAATAGAGGGTAGAAGTGAGGGTAATAGAGGGTAGAAGTGAGGGTAATAGAGGGTAGAAGTGAGGGTAATAGAGGGTAGAAGTGAGGGTAATAGAGGGTAGAAGTGAGGGTAATAGAGGGTAGAAGTGAGGGTAATAGAGGGTAGAAGTGAGGGTAATAGAGGGTAGAAGTGAGGGTAATAGAGGGTAGAAGTGAGGGTAATAGAGGGTAGAAGTGAGGGTAATAGAGGGTAGAAGTGAGGGTAATAGAGGGTAGAAGTGAGGGTAATAGAGGGTAGAAGTGAGGGTAATAGAGGGTAGAAGTGAGGGTAATAGAGGGTAGAAGTGAGGGTAATAGAGGGTAGAAGTGAGGGTAATAGAGGGTAGAAGTGAGGGTAATAGAGGGTAGAAGTGAGGGTAATAGAGGGTAGAAGTGAGGGTAATAGAGGGTAGAAGTGAGGGTAATAGAGGGTAGAAGTGAGGGTAATAGAGGGTAGAAGTGAGGGTAATAGAGGGTAGAAGTGAGGGTAATAGAGGGTAGAAGTGAGGGTAATAGAGGGTAGAAGTGAGGGTAATAGAGGGTAGAAGTGAGGGTAATAGAGGGTAGAAGTGAGGGTAATAGAGGGTAGAAGTGAGGGTAATAGAGGGTAGAAGTGAGGGTAATAGAGGGTAGAAGTGAGGGTAATAGAGGGTAGAAGTGAGGGTAATAGAGGGTAGAAGTGAGGGTAATAGAGGGTAGAAGTGAGGGTAATAGAGGGTAGAAGTGAGGGTAATAGAGGGTAGAAGTGAGGGTAATAGAGGGTAGAAGTGAGNGGGGGCGCAGTGGCGGGCTGGTCCAGCACTCGGGCCCCAAGGTCCCCTCTCACCTCGGGGGGCGCAGTGGCGGGCTGGTCCAGCACCCGGGCCCCAAGGTCCCCAAGGGCCTCATCGACGAAGGTGGCGGTCTTGCCGGTGGCGGTGATGACGGAGCAGCGGACGAGGGCGGCGGACAGCCCCACCACCCGCTCCCCCACCAGCCCCAGCCGCTCGGTCTTGGGGTGGTGCACGTGGGGCACCTGGGGGAGGGGGGCGGGGTTAGTGACGTTTGTTTATATATTATATTATCTATATATTATCTATAAATTATTTATCTACTGTCTATATATTGTCTACATATCATATATATGTCGTTTACATATATTCTTTATATATTGTCTATATATCCTCTATGTACTGTTTATATATCGTCTATAGGTATTATCTATTCATTTTTTACACAAGTAACTATATACCTTATATAAATATTGTCTATGTCATCTATATATCGTATATATAGATGACATTGACAATATGTTTCTACATATCTTATCTTTATATTTTTCAACACGTAGAAACCCCCACTCCCCCAATTTCCCCCCTCCCCCCAGTCCCCCACCTCCGAGGTGTAGGGGGCCTGGTCCCCCCACCGCCACTGGTGCAGGTGTCCCGCCGCCGACACCGCCACCAGCTCAGAGTGCAGCGCCGCGATGTGCGTGAACCTAAGGGGGGCGGCACCATTAGTACCGNCTGTCTCTTATACACATCTAGATGTGTATAAGAGACAGGCCCTATACTACCAAAAAGTAAACGTAACGGCCTAAGTGCACGTAGCGGCTAATGTAAACGTAGAAGCCGATTTCTTATTTGTGGTTGGTAAATTTAGCATGAAAAGCTGTCAGTGAATGGCCGATGGAGTTGCAAACTCGTAAATATTTTCGATGGTACGGCCCCTGAACTAGCGCTGTCTCTTATACACATCTAGATGTGTATAAGAGACAGGACCATTATCACCCACCATTGACCACTATTTTTTCAAGCCGCTATTTTTAATAAGTTTAGTGATAATATTATATATTAATAATAATACTTATTCATTATAATACATATTAATAACAATACTTGTGTATTTTAATATATATCAATACTTATTCATCATAATATATATCAATAACAATAGTTACTCATAATAATCTATCTAATAAGCCATAGTTATTTATTATAATATATATTATTATCATTATAAATATATATATATAGCATCATGGGGACTGGCCTGGGTGGGGACTTGTCGCGGTGGCGGTCGCCGGGCCACATCTGTAGGTGGTCGGCCACGTCCACCGCCTCGGGGGCCACCGCCCCCTTCTTGCTGCGCGGCTCTGGGGGCGGGGGGGACTTATTAAAGGGGGACTTGGGGGGCG